CCTTGAAGGCATCGTACAGTTTGTAACATTACCAACTGCCCTGAAAAGCAAGAGATAATTATTCCCCTCTCCCTTCAAAGCAGAGAGAGGAAAAAAAAAAGACACTAGATGGAAGGGAAATGAGCCCTTGTTGGCTTTTCACATCCCACATAAGATGATGCTGCAGGAATATTAATTTGACTAGGCCCAGAGACAGCATCAAGGCATCTAAAATTGTGGCACCTTTCGATAATTTTAAGCTAACCTCCCAAAACTGTGTGGGATAAGAAGGCGGCTATGTATAGCAGCAAAATTGGCTTGCTTTTAGTAGCTGTACTTTCCACCACAGTTCTCCTAACTGTGCAACAAGTGTCAGCAATAAGGGCACAAAACACACCACAAAGAGAAATGGAAGTGGTCTGAACTCAGCATGGGGACGTCGTTCTCCGACCAGCAGTGACTGCGTGTGACCTTGGCCATGACATGTAATCTCCGTCTGCTACACAGCTCAGAGCTGGGATAATGGCCATGATTCAGAGGGACATTGTGGAGAGGTATTATGTAGAATTCATAAATCACCTTGAAAAAGAAAATGTGGTCACTAGTTTGTGCAATGTGATCACTATGTGCTGCACAGGACATGAATAATCATGATTCAGAAGAAACGGCTCGAAGTCTGGTTGTTCATAACACATTGGAGCCCTCTTGTCAACAAGTACAAAAGTCTTTCTTGGAAGTCAAAACTGTGCCTGATGCTAAAAATGGCCCATGCCAGGTATGAGAATCCCAGGCAGCAATGGAAGCTCAGAAGAATGGATGCTCAGCAGAGAGCACAGTTCTTACACGCACAGGCTCATGGGGCCGTTCCCACTTTATCCGCTCTTTGGAAAACTCATTTCTTCTGCACTGAGAAAAACAAACCAGGGACTTTCCTACAAGAAGGCATCATTGCAGAGTGTGTGGGGAGGCTTGTGGAGCTTTCCTGGGAGGATTTTGCAGCCATTGCATTACCAGTGTTTCCCTGATGATAGATACCTGAAGAACCAGCAATGAGAGCTCGCTGTGCTCTCCCCAGACAGAACCATGGCCACGCTCTTCATAGGGAAATGGACACTGGGGAGTGGTGCTGATGTTTTGCAAATTTAAATATTTCTCCTACCAGGAGATGACCATCTCATTGCGTGTCACTTGTTTGGCTACACACAAATACTACAAATGCTAACAAGGAAATCAGAGTTATGGGATGAGGTTCCTATCCCTGTGAACTGCCTTAACTCCACTGCCTTCCACAGAGATTGACTTATTTATACAGGCAAAGACTTTGACTTGCGAACTCCCTTCCAATTTCATTAATATGCTAAGAGTTAAAAGGGAATGATTTAAAAGTAGATGGAGAGATATTTTGATGCCAACCCGGTCATATTCAAAACCATGAACTTTGCCCAACCTCCCAAGACATTCTGTAGGCTTCTCCGTGTTTTCCTTGCATTGCCTGGTGTGCCTGCTTGTCAAGAAAGGCTTGCCTTTAATTTTCCATGCCTATGCCTGTACTCTGCACCTCTGAACACTGGAAAATCAGTAAAAGAAACTCGTGGAACAATTTGCCTTTCAGTCGCACTGGCACAGAGTAGGTAAGCCAGTCCTTCGGGGGAGAAGAATGAGACAAATAACATACAGTCTGATTTGGCACCAAAATCCTTGTTTGGGAGATCTTGGAGGCCTGGCTGTGGAGGGTGAGGTCTCTAGAGGTCTTCATACATATCGTCGTGCTCCTGCATTTTTTGGAGGACTATACAGGTAGTCTGGGGGACTAGTTTTCTAATGAAACACCTAAGTGAGCTACTGAGAAGTACAGGGCTGGCTCAAAAACCTCTATTGCTGCCACTAGGGAGCGACAAAAAATCACATTGCAGAAGCAGCGTGGGTTACCACTGCGATCGCCAAGAGTCAAATAATGTCCCCTTACAGCCTTCTGTTCAGGGAACCCTCCCTAATGCTATGGATATTCCTACATCAGGGATTGTATCAGCTTAATGGCCCAGTATTATTGACCCACTGCCTTATTAGTCCCCATTTCCATGGCTGTGAGAAAAGGTTTGGTGAAGATGGAATTTCTTCTGAAATCTTAATACCAGAGAACAAGCTCTCTGCCCCATTCATGGCTCCTGGAAGCATCATGCTTTAAAAATGATGCCAGAGGCCATTATCAATTGTCTGGGAAAAGCCTTCTGAGATGATAGATTGCGATGCAGTGACACTGCTGAATGAATGATGAAAAGAAGAAAGTTCCTACTGATGCAGAGGGGTCTGGCAATTAACAGTGATGGAAGGGAAGAAAATGCTGAGAAAAAGCATGTCAGTCATAATGGCTTCTGGTAAATTATTACATCATTGCACAGTTTGCCTCAGTAACAACTACCCTTAAACAGCAGGAGAATGGATACCCAATGGTGAATCAGCACCTGAATGGCATTTCTTAATGGTCGCTGGATGTTATTTTAGCTCTCTTTGGAGAATAGGGGCACCTAACCAGCCTGCAGGAATGTAACGCGTGAGATGGCTTATAACATTCAGAGCCCTGACAGCAGAATGCTTTTCATTTAGGGAACAACTAGAAAGAAACTATTACAATGTTGGAGAGTTATTACCCTCTTGGGCCCAACATTTGTATGCAAAAGAAACCTGTCTTTCACTTCAAGATAAATCACGTCACACAGCAATGTGGTCTCAAGTTTCGTGTCAGATTTAGGAGATCTGTACCATGTTCTGCCACTCTGGGCAAATAACTTCAATGAGCTTGTAAAATTGGGTTACTGGGTGCTGAGAGTGCAGCCAGTGGTGCAGAAAGTCGGGAGATGTAGGGTCAAGACCTGTCCATGTAACCGAAGCAGCCATTTCTCCCTCTGCCAGTGAGCCACCTCACTTCTAAGATGGACATGAAGCTTCCCAGCCTTACAGAGGTGCCACAAGGATTGACTTCCTGACATGGGTGAGATTCTCAAGGGCTGGCATGATGGAAATTGCTTGAGTCCCATGACCCAGAGAGAGGTGCTCCAGCTCTGTTAAACCACTAGAAGCATCTTTAAAGTTCTCAGACTTTTCAAAGACTGTTGCCAGCAAAAATAAAATAATTGTTTTTTTCAAATAACACACGACTGTAAAAATGTTTCACAGCTGAAATGTAACCGCATTGTTCTGACTTCTGTTTCTGCTTCAGATGGAGGTGCACAGTGGAGGGATGTGTGATTTGCTCACTGTCCAGCTGTGCTGTCCAGCTGCTGGTACCATTTCTATCTCTGGCTTTCCCAAAGTTTATCTGTACACACCAATGCCCAAAGCCTAGCTGGCCTTGGAAAGAACTGGCCCTCTACTAAAATGTCAAAATCAAGGAAAAACAACTGAAGGTTTTTGTAACTTCCCAGAAATTCCCAGCTCCTGGGAAATTTTGACAGTCTACCCATTTTGCTGAGCTGCTTGATCGTTTAACTCCTGTGATAGTCGCCCAGCCATCAGCTCTAGGAAAACCACCAATTTCACCATGGAGCATCAGAACTGACGCAGGAGATCGCGGTCTGTTTGATAGGACAGTCAGGGCAAAAGCCTGTTTGCTCCAGTTGAAAGAACAGCATTTACAACCCACACGACTGCAGTGGCTTTTGTAATAACATTTGTGAGAGTAAGCACGGACCACCTGGGCTAACGCGAAAGCTCACCTCGCAGCCTTTGACACAATGAATCAGGGAAGGGTGAGGGTACCACTTGAGTCCTGCCGTGCAGACAACGCTCTGGAGGGGAGAAGAAAACAAAACAAAACAAAAAAACAGGTTAAGACAAAGAAATCAGTGTACAGAAAGTCAGTGTGCTGGCTCCTATGGCTCTCCTGTACTTAACCAATGAAGTTCAGCTCCTAACACCTCTTGTGTTCTCAGGACCTGGCTGTCCTCCAGGTATTTACAAGAAGTGTTGGACTTGACACTTGCAATAACAGAACATTTGAGATTAAAATAATATTTGAGGTTCTCCTAAAATGTCATGTCCAATATTTCACTCATGGTGGGGGAAAGTGGCAGGGAAAGGCAAAGGCACAGGTCCACTGTCTTGCTGTTGGGTAGAGGGGAGAGGTTTTAGGAATTCATTTAGGGATTTCTTTGGTCTTGCAAAGCATTACCCTCTTCCAACACCCATCCTACCTGTGCTTCTTAGAGATGGAAACAGCTAAAGGTAGACTTTCAGATACATTTTCAAATAAAAGCACCTCCCACTACCCACTTCAGAATAAGCCCCCATCACCTACTACATTATATGAGCTTGTATGATTTCTGTACCAACTCTGTTTATAGATTTCCTAGAAGAAAAAAGTTGGAGTGCCTAGTTTGAGGCAAAAAGGATGACTAGCATACTCAGTGATGACAGACAGAGCAGCCATTGTTTGCTGGAAGACACAGAAACTTAGATTTTAAGAGTGGATGAAAAGGTGGGGCAGTCAGTGGAGATGGCGGTTCAGTACCATGGAGGTCTGGGACACAGGACTCCCATCTATTCACCTGGACATCAGGCACAATGTTCATTTTTGGGTTATTGTCCATGGATGAAAGGCTACAATGTCCAGTTGGGCAAGATGATCTTTAAGGAAGAAATGTTTTCCTGTGCAGGGGGTGAGGCAGTGGCCCAGGTTGCCCAGAGAAGCTGTGGATGCCCCATCCCTGGAGGGGTTCAAGGCCAGGCTGGATGAGGCTTTGGGCAACCTGGGCTAGTGGGAGGGGTCCCTGCCCATGGCAGGGGGTGGAACTCGATGATCTTTAAGGTCCCTTCCAACCCAAACCATTGTATGATTCTATGATTCTAAGATGAACACAGAAGCACTCACCCAAAGACAGGGGTCAGGGTTGGATGGAGGCCTGAAGAAGGATGGGATTAACATTTGGGAAGACCCGATACACAAGCCATCCCCTCCCCTGTTTATCTGAAGGCTAATTTAATCCATCTGCAGGGGTACCTCAGCATGTTTTTACAGTTTCTGTCATTTGAGGCTTACCTGGCGCGTGCTAGAAAAAGGACTTTTATACTATCTGACTCGGGCTGTTTATCTTTCCGATGCTCTCGGATTTTCCACTATTAGTCAAGCCCGGCTTGCCCCACCTGCCTCGCAACAGGGCCCGTCTGTGCGAGCGGAGAAGCAGCCGGGCGAGGGGGGAGGATGTTGTTTATCCCAGGGAGGGAGGCTGCAAGGTGCGGGGGCCCTGCGGTGTCAGACGTTCCCCCAGCGCACTCTTGACAGACAGCTGGAGATTTCCAGGCTGTTGCCTGCCACAAATGGTGAGGGTTTGTTTTTTGTTTTTTTTTTTTCTTCCCTCTTCTGTTTACTGCACTTCAGAGGGAAAAGAAAGGAAACTTTTCTAGGTTTCAAAATAAACAAGGCCGGTCAACAGACGGGGAGAGGGGAGAGTAAAGGAAGCAGTTCAAGAGCATTTGAACCCAAGAATTAAACCCAAGTAGAAAAACTCAGGCAGTTGCCTCCCATGTCCAAGGCCAGCCAGACAATAAGTAGAAGCAGTACACTTCCAAAGAGCATCTCGCATTCCCCTGGTAAGAAGCATCAACATTTACAAACCCTCTTGATATGTGCGAATGTGTGTGAGCCTTTGGAGCTAACAAAAGGAGCCAAATAGCCCTGAAACAGGCTCTGAAGAAAGGAAGTTTCTAAGTGAGAGCAATCCCATGCAGAAGATACCCTGACTACTTTCCTGACCCTCCCAATATCAAAACCCTGGCACCTTCCCTTTGAGGAATGGGTGGAAGGCAAAGTCTCTGCTAGGACGGTGCTGACCTCAGAGCTCTCACCCAAGGTCATCTCAATCCCAAGCTCTGCACAGCCTTTGGCTGGACAGCCTCCAGGGAACGGGAGTGCAGCCCCGGGCCACTCTCCATGGCATAGGAAAGGCAGGTGACCTTGTGCTAGATCCATCACTGGGTCAGTGGGACATTCACATGGCTTTTGAGTGGTACCTGCCCATGGCTTAGTCCCAGTTACTTCACCCTCTCCTCAGATGCCACTTTGCTAGCAGCGACCATTAGAGGTACTCCAGCTGAATTCAGTCCTGTTCACATTCAGAGCTGGAAGCAGGGAATGCTCCGGGGAGCACCCTTGGCCATGGTCCTGGCTCCTCTTCCCCATCCTCCAAACCCTGAATTCCCACCACCCAGCACTGTACCCTCAGGCTACTGCTGTGGCGTGTGCAGTGCAACAGGATGGGAAGAGGGGGTGTGAATAGAGGGAGAGACTGGGTTGGGAAACTGAGAAACTGGGGATGATTTGGGTTGCTGGGCATCGTTCCTGCCTTTTGCAGTGCAAAACATAGGGTGCTGCATGGGGTAACTGAGATAAACAAATGTGTAAAAAGCAAGCAAGGAGGGATACAGGCAGCACTACTGCGGGATGCAACCACGATCTGATGGCATCAGTGCACACAGAAAGGGAGGTGGGCTCGCAAGGCCAACAGAGGATGCAGGAAGAGGTAGAAGGAAGGACCACATCTCACATGTGCCAGGCGGTGCACGGGGGATAAAGCCTATCTGGCCACTGCCTCTGCGAGCCCCATCCCTTCCCCATGCTGCCATGTTCTCCAAGCTGCTGTTGTGACATATGTCACCCTTATGGCCCCAGTTCCCCTCATGCATCAGCTTCTGCAGCACAGCTGCCCTCCCGCACGGGCTCTGCTGTGCAGCCGGCTGCACTGACGTTGGTCCCATCCCCATCCCAGAAACAGCATCCAGCCACATCTGTGGTTGGGTGGCTGTGACTCCATCTGCTGCAAAGGGAGAGGAAGCCGGGATGCGCTCCCACAGTAGGTAACAAAGAGCCAAGAAAGCAAATGAAGCTGTCATTATCTCCTAGTGAGGGAAGACCCAGTGCCTCCAGCCACAGCACTTCCCTCCCATGGTGGGACCAACACAATGACGTCAACCATCTGCGGGCTGCAGAGGGGATTGGGTTTCCCCAGGAGAGGCGGGTAAAGAGCTCTTCTCCACCTTAGACCAGTCAAATGTCCCCCCCAGGCTAAAGCCCAGGGACTGGCATCTACTGGTCTGAGCTAACTCTCTCCTCAGGCACTAAATGAACACAACAATTAACTATGGGCTTAACGTGGCGGTGATGAAAAAACTGCTCCCAAGAGAGGGGAGACACAGTGTGTTGGGGGTCCTTCCTCCTGTAGCTACAGACAGGATGGGAAGGGAGCAGCTGCATGGCAATAGGTCATTTCACTGCTCCGTGACTCAGTTTCCCTGCCTGCAAAATGAACCCAAAACTTGCAGAGAGGGGAGAGAAGGAGGGAGGGAGGGAGGGAGGGAGGGAGGGCGCGAAGGAGCAAAATTGCAAAGCTTAAATGAATAGAGAAGTATTTAAGGAGAATTCCTCTTAATGACTTCTGGACATCCCAAATCCCAGGGCTTGCAGTGCATATGGGAAAACACACGGCCAGCAGTAGGACAGCATCCCAGGCATGCGGAGGGTCCACGGCCACCCTCAGCCCCGCTGGCAGGCAGTGCCAGGGCACACCGGCTCTTTCCAGGCTATCCCATGCATGCACATTCTTGCACAGTATTTGGCCTGTTCCCGCTTAGCACAAAGGCAAGGACCCAAATCCAGACAACCTAAGAAATTAGGTGTCTGCCCTGTTTCTCTGCAGCCAGTGGGAAAGAGCTGTCAAGCTGTCTTTCTGCGATACTTCACTTTTTTCTCTCCACCGCCTGCACAGTCAATCTTGGCAGCCCAATCTATAGGTGTCTTCAACAGCTCGCTGCCCCTCGCACACGCACGGTAAATGGGAAATCGCGGGAACAGCAATGGTTGCTCTGGGCACAGCCCGTCGCAGAACAACAGGCACACGGAAGATTTCAGGTGAATGTAAAGAAAGTACTGATTTGAAAGACACTGCCAACTTGTACTGATTTTGGCAAACTGTTTCAGACCCAACAAAGCAACTCAGCCTCAACCGATTCTGAAAAACACATTAAAATTTGACATTTTTTGAAATGAAATATCTGTTGTTGTTGTTCCTTTGAGAGGACATTTAATTTCTAAGTTTTTTTTTCTTCTTTATTTTTATTAAACAAAAAGTTGTAAAAAAATCCTTGGAACCAAAATGCTAAGTTATGTTCAAGCCAACATTTTTTTTTTCTCTAATTTTTTGGTTCACCAAAAATCACAACAATGAAAAAGTCACTTCGATTAGCAGAAAACATTTTTTTTTTTTAATTTGACAGAACTTCCAGCGAACCGAAAAATCAAGTGATTTGCACAGCTCTGCTCTAAACAACCCCCAGAGGAGGGATGGTTCTCTCTTCCCACTTTGCTTCCATAACAGCTGTTGCTTGAACAGCCACACACAAATATATTTTTTTTTTTACTTCTTGCGGTCTCTCCCTGTGTTTTATCTGTGCCGGTTCTCTCCAAGGTAAGCTCCACAGATCGGTTCTACCTTTATCAGCTTCTGGCATTGCACTCATTTGTACATTACTTGCACCTGAAATTAAGCACCTACAAGAGTTTCCTTTGCATCACCCAAACACTTTGAGATCCACAAAGACTTGCCGTGTAAACGCAACCAGCTACTCGCTTTACTGAGATGGCACAACAGCGAGCTGCCATTGACTGTAAATAGAGACACATAATGATGACATATAACACACTGCCATGGGGACCTTCCCCTAAGGCATCCCAGTCCTGTCTCTCCAGGGTCCCCCCAGTCCCACCAGCAGCAGCGTTTCCCCCAGTGGCACCCCGTGAGGCACCACTCCCCGTGGGTGACATCCCTTTATCTGTTCAATAAGATGGATGTTTTACAGCTACCAAAAAAAAAAAAAACCCTCCAGCATCACAGCATCATCCCACCCATCTCCTAAAGGCTCCCCTCCATCTCACAACACAAGTTTTCAAGACCAAATCTTACCCTCCAGTTACAAAATGTTGGTGGGGTTGTTGCTCACAGCCTGAAGCTCTTGCGAGATCCTCACCATCAGGGCAAAAAAGGTTTTATTTACCACTTGGAAACCACACTTTCTCCTCCATCCCTCACTCCCCTCATCTCCCCCTTTACTACTCTCTGTTTTCCCTGCTGCCTAATGAGCCCTCCAGAGACCTGCAGGTATAAAACTCGTTACAGCTCCCTCTGCGTACCCGCATCCATAAACGAGGGAGCACGGCGGAGAACGGGAGGGAAGCTGTCACTTTATTTCACTGTGAATTACAAAACCACTTTAAAGTCTAGCACTCGGGAAAGGACCGGTGAGAAATTGCCCCTAATTCCGAGAGAGGGGTTTTCTTTATGTTTCATGCCAGAAACTTGGCAAAGCCCAGGCTTAGGCAGCAATATAATCTTGGAGTCTGGAGTGAATGGGAAGCTGGGAAGGACACTACGAGCTTGTCATATTCTTTGGATTTAGGTTCCCCGTCCCTTTCAAGGATTTATTCTATTTCTCTGTATGACATAGGGAAATATAAAGTGGTGGAGATTTTTGGAGCAGCTCGCTATCCACAGCCAAGGCCAGATTTCAAAAATCACAAACCCTGGGTACACATTTAGGCACGTAGAGACTGTCAAAGCTGCTCAGGACATGCTGGGGTTGTGCTGGCTGCCTGTTCTCCTCTGAAATCCAGTTCAAGCAGGCAAAACGGACTCCTGCAAAGCCAGGGCCAAGTACGTAAAGCCACCAGTGTTCGCTCAAGCACCACCAGCAACCTGCACCCTGGGGACACGTGATGTGCCAGCGTCTTCCAACGTGCGCTTGAGCATGTCCAGATAAACGTCTACACCTGCAGAAATCCTGCGTAGGCACAACCGCCTGTTTACACGCATTTCTGGGCAGGAGGGCACCTTTGTGTAGATGAGGGCTTTCAGAAAGGGGCAGATGAGTGTGTATCCCACCGGTATCCAAATGTAGGCATCAAACCCAGCAGCTATTTGTGTGTGCAGGGGTGAGCACGTGCGCAAGGCGCTGTACATGGGTTTGCACGTCCCCATGGGCACAGACTGGAGGATGCACGAGACGGGTGCCTTAGCGGTTCACGCTGCCTGTTCGGGTGCAGTCGGTCCACGCTGCCTGTGCGTGTGCAGCGGGCAGGAGTGGTGACCTCTGGAAGGGGCTGTGCTGAGCAGGCATCTCTCACATGCGGGCGAAGGGGCGGGGGAGGACACAGCCAGCTCTGTGCTTCAGGAAATGAAATACCCTCTGTATCAGCTGCTTTTGGCATCCAAAAGCAGGGCAGAAAAATCCGGCCCTGCTACCCAAAGCATGCAAAATACTGAACAGGAGGAAGAGACTAAAACCTGTCTGGCGCCCTTTCCCTCACTGCCCAGCCCATTTTCCTCTGTAATGAATCACGTTTCCAGATCAGACCCAGATAGGTGCCGGGTGGATTTGAGCAGTTAATACGGGACCTTTACCTTGAACTGACTGTCACTGGAAAACACAGAGAGAAAGCAACTTGGAGAGAAAGACACCAAGTTACTAGAAGAACACACCAAGGCACAACAGAAATCAGGAATTCTTCTCTAAAGGGCAGGAGAGTTTTCCCCGTGTATTCCCCTCACTGAATGATCTTCACTCACTGCACACCAACATGCAACAAGGGATACAGTTAGTGAAACTGTCAGGCACTGACCTTCACTCTCTGCGGGTTCATCCAGTGCTGGATGTCTTGCACGGTCTCGTTGATGCGCAGGAGGATGGGCTCGTGACTGTGGTCCAGACAGGAGGTGGTACACTCAGCGCCTGCACCAAACACAGAGAGGATAAAGCCAGAGGATAAAACAAGCAGCTTCTGACCCTTCCAGCATCCTTCCAGATGAAGGACAGGTTTAGGTCTCGTTTTTCCTAAATTGCAATTAGCAGTCAACCAGAACTATCACATATCTTCTAGCTGCACACGAAATGCTGAGTACAACCCTGCAGCTCAGCAGGAGACCGTGGGGGTGGCAGATATTCCAGGGCCTTTTTGTATGAGCTGCATATCTAGGCATTTCTCTGGCTATTAACTCCAAGAAGGGGGGCAGCTTTTGTGCTTTCAGATCATCAAGAAAATGCAAAGATTTTTCCATTTCAGCTGCTCTTTCAAGCAACGGGATTGATTGAGCAGAGGCTGCCGAACTCATCTCACCTATACCATGACAAAAACATACCGTTCTATCTGTCAAATTTACAGACCTTCAATAATAATCTTTCGGAGGGTGACCAAACCTAATGATATTGCAGACAAGCTATCACCTAAGTCCCAGAGTCGATAAGAAGTACGCAGAGAGGTAATGATGGCTTTGTTCACACATAAACCTGCTTTTTCACTGATTAACTGTTATGCCCAGTGGGAATCCTGTCCTTTCTTTATTAAAACACGCTGCGATACTCTGCAGCAATATCCCAGAGCCCTGTGGTGACACAACCATAAGCCCTAGTGTGTCGGACCATTACCATTTCCCCCCTGGAAAATCACTCCTGAATGGCACAGCTGCTGCAAACATGTCATTAGGGTTTCTGCACTCCAATCAGCACTGGGGGAGGAATTAATCTCCGCACTGGTTTGGAGAGCTGAACCTTTGGCTCAACACACACCTCAGCCTGGAAGGGCAGATGAGGTGTCTGAGGAATTACCGAAGGTGTGTGGGATTCATAGTGACCACGACTGGCTGCTATTACTTTCCCCACCTGCTTCTGCCTTCTCACGGACTCCCACACCGAGGAGTCTGTGGGAGCAGAGCAGAGCTGGGCTGTTGGGCTTGTGAGATGGGGAGCGCTTGGGTGTGTTTTGCTGTCCCAGCACACGTGGTGGTGGCTCCACAGACCTGCTGGATGAGCGTCTGGTGCCACCAGTCCCATTTCAAGTGAGTGGCAGGAGGGCGCCTTCTTGGAAGGACATCAATCAGACTTCCAAAAACACAAAGAAGAGAAGGAAACCCCAACAACCTGATCCCGAAAGGTGGTGCTGGGCGAGCTTAACAAAGTGGGTGGTATGTCTCCATCTGCTGAGGATAAGAGCCAATGGCCACTGTGCCTTCACCGAGCTCTTCCTCCCTCTCCAGCAAGAGCCACGCTCTCATAGAGAGTCCATCCCACCAGTCCCTTGCCTCCATAACAGCGGCATGGTCCCATCCCAGGATCAGGCCCACAGGACCCTGCACTGGGATCGGCACCTGCTGGCAGGGCTGGGAGAGGACTGAGAGCTGGCAGGTGCCCGCCGCCCGGCTGCAGACCCTCCAGCTTCCAGCACCGAGATGCTCCCCTCCAAACCAGGGAACTGGTATTTCTCTCGTTGCAAAAACCCTGCCAGCCCTGGGAGGTAACCTCATCTCAAGGGTAAAACTCCTTACCACATTAAGAGCCGCTGCAGCCCACTCGCCGCTGGCTCTCCCGCACCCCGCCATGCTATTTACGCTCACAGAAAGGAGCTGGTCAGGATTGTTTTGACATATGATCTGTAATTGGCATCATTACAGAGCGGTGATCTCATCCAGGTTGTGTTCTCCTCCCCGGGGACGGAACACAAGGAGGCTCACGGTCCCTCGCGCGGCTGCAGGATCATGGGGGAGCTGCG